TCTCAATAAATGAATATTCGATAAACTAATAATCTTGCATAAAAAAATCTTTGATCCTAACTTGAGTTAGTTTACTAAATTAATAACCCATTAAATACATAATATAATTTTTTTTTTATTTTTTTGAAATCTTTTAAAACCAAACGAATATATAAAATAATAAATACTTAAATTCAGAAAAGTTTATATTAATACAATTTAACAAATTTAATTTGACAATATTTTCATCAACTCGTCTCTCGTTCAAAATATGCATCTAAAGTCTTTTGTTTTTTCTTTGTACCCAAAGCAAATTCAACTTTATTCTTAATTTTTTGCAATACACATGCTATATTTGGCATATTTGTTTTCATTTTGTACAAATTAATTATTTAAGGTTACGACTGCTTGAAATGTCTATTTTAAAGAAATAGTTAGGACATGTTTGATAGGCCTTTTTTTTCCATGGAAAATGGAATTGAAAATTCCATTTCTCACTTTTGCTATGTTTAATAGCCAAAAATTTCCATGAAAAATATTTTCCTCCCACCACCACCACGTGGCCCATTTTTTCATGTTTTTGTTGATTTGGTTTTCCTGCCAGTTTGGTGGGAAAATGGTTTCTAGCTTTTTTTCTTTTTTAACACAATGAAAACAAATTTTATGGACAATTGTAAAAAAAATAAAATCCCTTTAATTGATAATTTTCATAAAAAATAATGTCTAACGAATACCAAAATTTCAACATTTTTCAGATGAAAAATTATACCAATCAAATACAACTAATTGACAATTCTCAAGAAAACAATTATAGACAATTCAATTCACTGTAATTCATTTTATTTCCACCCAAATTTCACGCTTGCAATCAAACGAACCTTTAGTAAAACATAATTATCATAAGGATCGTGATCATTGTTGATAGGTGTATTGAGTATCCCCTAAATAATATGTTCATTGGTATGAGATTTCATCACCGATTCATTTTCACTAGAATAGTGTAAAATGTTCTCAACATCCATCAAATTCCTATAGCGTAGACAAAAAATAGTTTCACACAATCCGTTGATTCTTTCGTCTTCACTAACTTTTGGTTCAATATTAATATCTTTATTTGATTGAATCTTGTAGATTTTTTTTTTATCGTTTCAAATGAAACAACACAGTAGAAAAAATGTATGAAATTTGGAATGATTGAGGGTCTTAAGTTAAAACTAATTACTATAGAAATGTTATTTCATGTGTACATGAAATAATTTGAACGATTAATATTTCAAGATATTAAATTTTGAAGTCTTGTACGTTAATGTTTCCTCTTCAATGTAATTATGTGTGCCTTACATGTATTATAGGTAATAAGAAATAATCTTGCTACAAGTTATAAAAGTATAAAATACTCCATAAATTAATAAATATTCATCTATCGATAAATTAATAACTATATTAAAATAATAATATTTCTCAATCCCAACAATAATATTATTTTATAGAGGTTTTACTGTATTTCCAAAATATATTTTTCTCTTTTATTTTCAACCGCACATTTTTCGATAAGATAATATTATACACAAATTCAAATGTTTTCCTTATTTTTTAATCATACATTATCCATCAAAATACTATTTTAAGATACATTTTGAACAAAACAAAAAGTGGAGCTTAAACATGCTCATAGTTTTATAATGCTAGAATTTTGCTTCACAATTTTGATAACGTGCTCTGAAAATTTGATCTTGTCAATTCTGAGCAATGCATCATCCAAATCCAGCAGTGCAAATACTGCAATCATCTTAACTTGCCATAGTGAAAATCTAGTGCTTCGATCCAAAAGCGGAATGTCATACTTCATGGAAATCATCGTGAATAAAAAAATTTCGAACAAATCAAACATTGCGCTTTTGCGGACTTGCTGAACCCGGCTCTCTGATACCAATTGTTGTAAAACAATCAAGATACCAGAATTACTCTGATACCAATTGTTGTGAAACAAACCACTAGATTGAAATGTTGAAGTTATACGGCAAGTAATAATGAAATATATGATCAAACAATAAAATAATAAAGATAAGAATATGGCAGAGGAACTAAGAAATTTTATTGACTCAAAAATAATGGAGAAGAGAGAAATTACAATGGATCATATAATTCTAGTAATCTATTTTCTCACACTTATTAAATTGTATAGAAGTGCTTGATATAGGAATAGGACTCCAATAATATTTCAAATTTAATTCTTCTTGATGTGCACTTCAATTAGAATTTTTCAATTACTTCAACAATAAATTCCAGCCACACTCAAATTCTAGCAATGTTAATAAGAGGACTATTACAGAAATTCTACATAGACAATAGTGAAGCGTTAATGAATTAACAAGAGCATCTCCAATAAACTTTTTAAACATGATATGCTTTCTATTTTAAAGAGTCAACATTTAAAATCATATTTCAAGAGACTATTTAAATTAACATTTTAATTTAAAGAATGGGGTTGACTCTCCAAATTTGGAGAGCCAAACTCACTATTTTATAATTAAATGTATTCAAAGCGTTTCAATTTTTAACGTAAGAAAACAATAAAATAATCTAAAAAAAAGTTAGTTAAAATAAAAGATAAATAAAAATAATAAATATTTTAACCAATAATTTACATCTACGTAGACTTGGAATCCATCCTCAATGGGGATGAATAACAGTTGTCATAAAGAAAAGTTAGTTAAAATAAAAGATAAATAAAAATAATAAATATTTTTTGGGAGTAGTAAAATTAAGTGTTAAATATAAAAAGTTTGTTGGAGTGCTTCAAAATTGTAACTCTTTAAATTTATAGATGCTAAATGATAGAATATGTTCTTTAAAATTAGAGGTCTCTTGGAGATGCTCTTAAGTGGATAAACTCTTCTTTTCTTTCATATATTTAATTTCTTAAATCTTTAAATAAGGAACTGTTTGACAATTTTATTTTATTTTTGGAAGACTAACAGAAATGTTATGACACCAATTCTGGAACATTTTCCCTCGATATAAATTCTAAACTTGACATGTACGTTACTTTTTTCTAAGTCTAATATTGCGTATCAAACATTCATATTATGCTACTTTCAAATAGACTGACACACATTAGATTCACAATTCTTCTTTTATTAGGCATACAAATGGGATGATTGCAAGAAAGGGACACAGTCGCATACCTATTTAATTGGACAATCCAACGAATATAATTGGCCTAATTTTGGTAGACAAATAAGGATTATTACTTCTCTCCGTAATTGAATAAATTTCTGCTTAAGATTGGGATGAGCTCAGTAAAAATTAATTTTATGCAATTTACTGTGTCTATTTTGAGGTTAAAAACTCGATCTTCTACCATCCTGAAGATGAGACCCCCATCAAATATATGCATATCAGGAGAATTCCTTCAATTTTTCGCCATGCCTTGTGTAGATCCCACAAGAGAATGTGACAGCTCGTTGATGCATAAATGTCCTACTCTTCATCAAGATTCTTCCATAAAAACATTTGGTTATGTTAGCATCAGCTATATGAAGATGAACTATGCAAACATTCAAATCAATGTTAGTTTTTTCCATTAACAAAGCACAACTTAGATCCTCCAAAAGTTTGAAGGGTCAAATGTAGTTTGAAATCTTCATGTAACGGGCAATTTTATGGTTTATCAATAATTGATGTGCATGATTTTATATTAGACTGGATTTTGCTCATCATTTTTTTTCCCATTTTTTGCAGAGTTAGTCTAATAAATTTGATCAGAACAGGAAGAGCTGTCATCTTTCAATAAAGACAGGTAATTCAAATTTATTAAAAATAATAGATATTTTTTTCGCCCCTTTCCCATCTGTGCATCATCTAACATCCCTCCATCACTCAAGAGTCTTTCAAGAAACACGACAATTAGAGGTAACTATTAATCTCTAGAAAAAATATTGGCGTAAATAGAATTAAAGTTATTAATGCCCCATTTGTTTCAGATTAAAATCAGATTTGAATTTAAGTTAAAGTCGAACAATCAATATTAACCATATTTTTCAAAAGTCTTATTACTTTTCAACCACACATGTTAGAAACGTTTATCACGATCTACTAAAACTTTAATTTTAATCCCCACTAAATTACGAGGATTATAAATGTATATAATTCTTGTTGCATCCTAAGGATAAAACAAAATTAGATAAAGAGCTCTATTAACAAAGATCAAAGGTCTCACTCTCAAACATCCAAGAAAGCTCATTCATGAATTAAATCCTAGTTTTCAACAAATAACACATGAATTGGGATCCTCCTCCACACTTCTAGCAAAATATGGATGTTGATAATATGGAGGATAGGCCATCGGCAGCTGTACAACAACTTGTTTTGGACCTTCTTTTTTCTTGTCATCTTCTTTCTTGCCTTCCTCTTTTTTGGGTTCTTCCTTTTTCTTCTCAGGCTCTTTTGCCGGCCCGACCGACACAATTTCTGTACCACAGAGCTTCCTCAGTTTGGCCACCACCTTAACCGGATCTATGTCTCCGGTTATTGTCAGCTTCTTGTCCTTCGGATCCATGGCAATAGATTCAACCCCTGAAAATTTTGAGAAAAGGGAACTGATTAAATTTTGTGGTATTTACTGTTTTGATGTTTTAAGATCTGGATTTTCTTGAAATCTACAAATCAATTAACTCTTTCGCTCGTAAAAGGACCAGACGATGATTACCTGAGAGGCCAGAGACTGTTTTCATGGCTTTTTGCTTGATTTTCTCATCGACAAATTCCAATTTCAACACAACTTTCTGTAATTAGCATAACAAAAAAGCAAAAGATCTAAATTAGGAAACGTTGACCATAATTCAAGATTTATAATTATCCTCAAACAACATTAATTAAATGATTAAGCATAAACAAAATGGATAATTCTCCATATATTAGGGGTGCCAGTGTCCATAATGGACACGTGACACCTCACTGTTGAATGTGTTGGCCCACCAATATACTTTCCAATAGTGAAGTGTCATGTGTCCATTATGGACAATGACATCCCTAATATACTTGTAGTACTTCCCAAACAAAATACGGAAAGATCTAACTTAGGAAAAGCCCACAAAATTTCATCCCTGAAAATATAATTAAAACTAATTATGGTTAATCAACACTAATTAAATGATTTTAACATAGATATTCATGAACAAGAACTTAATATTCTTTAATTTCCTGCGTGAAGATTCACGAAGGAATAAACAAGATCCATCAAAAGTGTTTTAAGAATAATCAGACGTCAGGAAAAAAAGTTAAGAAAAAAAAACTTTTTCAACCTCGTAAAAATTATGCTCAAGAATCAGAATCTAAACAAAAGCATATGAAATTAATAAAAGACAGTAATTAACCTGCTGCATCCTTGTTTTCTGAAACTTCGAGATCTGAGTTAAAAAAAATTTCTTGAAAAAAGTTGCAGACAAAAGCTGGCTTAATAAGAAGAGGAAAAAGAATAAATAATAGATAAATCAAAGAAAAGAAGGGCTGTGGTATGAACTTGCTTAACTGAGTTTGGAGCCGATTTATAGCACGAAGGTTAGGACACCAACAGAGTCAACGCGAGTCAAGGTCATAGGGCCGCGGTCAATATTTTCGTTCTACGTTGTTCAAGCCTGATGATGTCGCAAGGAAGATTCGTCAAATTCGTGACATCGATCTTTCCAATTCTAACAAATTGCACCACCAGTCCTCGACTTATTTCATTAAAAGTTAAGGAAATAAGTTAACTTTATAGTTTTATAATGCTAGAATTTTGCTTCGCAATTTTGATACTTTGAGCCTGTTTGGTACACATTAAAATGAGATAATGCATTTTTTTGAAGTGATGTGATGGAGAATATGTGGTTGAAAATGAAGGAAAAGTTATTGATGTGATGGAAAATATTATTTTATTAAAAAATGTGTGGTTGAAAATGAGTAGAA